TGAATTTTAAAATACCACTTATAAAATTATCCTTAGCGAAAGCATTTTTACAAAAGAACTTTTATAAGAGTACTTTTATGAAAGCACTTTTACAAAAGTACTTTTATACAAGTGCATTAATAAAAGTACTTTCATAAAAGTGCTTTCGTAAAAGTACTTTCATAAAAGTACTTTTATAAAAGTGCTTTTGTAAAAGTTCTTTTCATAAAAGTATTTTTATAAAAGTGCTTTTGTAAATGTGCTTTCATAAAAGTATTTTTATAAAAGTACTTTCATAAAAGTGTTTTTATAAAAATTCTTTCAAAGGGTATGTTTTAAAAATTTGAAAGAAAATGAAGGATAAAATAGTCACAAATGCTTATTTAAGTGCTTATTAGAGAAAAAGACTACCAAACACCCACACCCAATATAAAATAAGTGCTTATTTCAAAAAATAAGCACTTGAAAAAGTTGGGTGCGAAATGCAAATAAGTGCTTATTCGAATAATCACTTGTTTTTAAGCACTTATTCAATAAGCACTTGTTTTTAACCTAAGCACTCCCAAACATGGCCTTAATCTGCTTGATGTCATAGTTTATTGTTAATTGGGGTTCATTAGACTCAATTTAGAAAGAGTATAAATACAAATACATAAAGTGTAAAACTTTGTATTTTATATTATTTTATATGTATTTGCATGTTACATAACTACATATATACCTTAAGGTGTACAATACGTGAAGTTGGTCTGGGTGCTATATAAAATGAAAGTTGTGGAGGGCTCAAGGTTGGTTAAACCATGGAAATTTCATTGGTTCAATGCCATGCAGTTACATTGTATCATGTCTTGCATGAGATCTCCACTTTTCACCTATAATTGGAAGAAAAGAACATTTGTGCAAATGGTGACTTTGATGGTGTTTGGTATTTGATGTAGCTTTTTCAAGCAACGGTGTCAGCTCAGCATTGTAGATGAGTTTAACAAGAAAAAATAAATTCAAACTTTTATTATTAAATTAGGAGCTGTTGCCTGGGTCAACAGTTCAGCAGTTCTGCTCTTCAGATCAGTGATTTACAACTGAGTTAATGGTTTTTAGTCTCAGTTTGGAAAGAGTATAAATACAAATATATAAAGTGCAAAACCTTACATTTTGTATGTATTTGTACCTACATATTTGTTTTGGCACTTTTACCAAACCAAACCTTAAGCTCAGTTTGCAAGGAGTACGAATACAACTATGTAAAGTGAAAAATCTTGTATTTTGTATTACATCATATGTAATTGTAATGTACACATTTATATTTGTACTCCTTCCAAACTGAGGCGTTTTATGCTGTGTTTGGTTGCAGTGCAAATTTATTTGCTCTAGTACAAATGCTTGAAAATGCAAATTCTTGTTTATTTTGTTTTAGATTTTACTTTACTCTTCTTCATGTCTTAATTTACTTCAATTGTGTTGCAATCAAACAAAATAAACTAAAATTTAAAACAAAAAATAGGTCAGAATTTACACTCAAATCATTTGCATTGTCATAGTTTTGCATCAATACAAATTTATTTGCATTACAACCAAACACAGCATTGGGAAAAATCTAGGCGAGGTGAAAAACAGAATTGGGTAGGCGATGGGTTTCAGAGTCGATGGGTTCAAACTTCCCGGTCAATGACAGTTTTAAAACGTTTTGACATGATTGCCACGCTAATTGGTTATCGACTTATTGGACTGTTAACTCCATACACAATTTGTATTCCAATTAAACACCATCAATTGATCCCTTATAAACAAACTTTTAATAATAATTGAAAACAAATTTTTTTTCTAGGAAATTAGACACCAACGAACATAAGGTATTGATATGCAATTATTGCAGAATTCAATCGTAATTTTATTAGCTATTTAATAACTATTACTTACTTATTACCGTATTCATAGATGTTACTTAGAGAAGAACCAGGGGGAACTGCTACCTCTGCATTCCCTTCCAACATCATGACCACCTTCTTCATGGAGGGACGAAGAATGTGGTTTAGGGTGGATGTGGTTTAGGGTGGCTGGAATTCAGAATTTTGCATCGTGTATCTCCGTACTTTTCTGCATCATGTGATGTTAACACTGATGTAAGAATGGATGAATGGTCCAAAAAAACCCTACAGTCTACAGATATACCATCGCCACCCATCCAACCCATTTTTCAACCGTAAATTTTTAAGGCACGGTGGTCGGTGGGATGGATATATATCAGAGATATCCACAAAGAATGCCATTGGAAGGTGCAACTTCCAATTCTCACATTTCATGCATATTTACAGGGAAGGCCCATGTGCTCCCTCAATGAGTGTAGGGGTATAGGAAATCAAGATTCTAACCAAATATGAGTCAGGAACAGAGACCCCACGGAGACAAAGAAACAGTCACAAAAGAATCAAGGCGAGCAAGATTTGCAATCTCAATAACAGGGACGTCACAGTAAGCAAGAGCTGGTAGAGCCGATCAAGTACGGTGGTGTTTCTCGTCTCCGGCGAACTTGCGGACAAGTCCATAGTACCGCAAAATGCTGCCATGATTCAGACTATAGACTATAGAGCATCTGGTGCTTGGATAAAACTCTGATAAAATAAAAATTAAAAAAAAAAAAAAAGTAATTTGAACATTTAGAAAACTTTATACGGTCGAAAGAGAATATTTTTTCGAAGTCAATTAACGGAACGCTAACGGGGGGGTTCTTTGTCTAATAGCCTAAGTACAAGGGGTGTTAGTCACAAAAAAACAGGCCCATAATACAGGGGGTCCCTGTAATATACCCAAAATTAAAACCCTCCCGATCTCCTATTTTGTTTGAACTCGAAAGGCCTCTTCTGTATTTCCCCCCTTCTTTCCCTGCCTCCTCTCTCCCCTGTCAAGAGCTACAACTGTTCACCGGTGATGGTTGCGTCGCCAGTACTCTCTGTCTCTCCTTTTCTCTCCCCTCCCTCTCCCTCTTTCCTGTTTCTTCTTCTTTCTTGCTCCAAATCGGCAACCCAACACTCTGACCGACGTCTTCACTGCAACCTCTGACGCCTCTGCAACCACCGGTCAGTAGGGTTTTCAGTTTCTAATCAGAAACATACAACTTCCGACGCCCATGGGACCAATTCGCATGGAACCACCACCGAATCTTACTAGCCTGATAAGAAGTTAAGAACTTAGGCTGGGTTTGTCATCTTGAATTTTAAATCTGACAATAGACTCGACTCAGGTAAACCCTAGCCTGATAAAAGGAGTTTTCTTCTTTAAATCAAAAAGTGGACCACAAGAAAGCTAGATACTTAATGGAACTTATGGCTGCGTTGGGTTTAATAGAAAATAAGTGAGAAAAAAAGAAGTTGAGAAGTTATTAACAAATTGTGTTAATAGAAAGAATGAAGAAAACAGTTAGATCTTCCCGATAGCGATGATGAGTACTAAGTTAATCTTGTAGTTATGCGTTTTCTTTTTCTTTTTCTCGTTTTAGGAAATTAGCCACAACTCTCACATTTAAGCTATGAGTCGGCTTATATATTATTAGTATTCAACCACCAAATGAATTTTCTTCTGGTGTGAAACTTCAAAGAAGTTTAAAGATCTGTAACATCTACTGTGGATTCACGCGTGAGGACCAAGGTAGACCACGCAGTGCAGTCTAAGACCAAGGTACACCACGCGTGAAGACCTGGCAAGTTTTGGATCACCCATATCACTGCTAATGCCCCCGTGCAGAAGAATAACAGGAAAGAGGGAGAGCGATCAAAGAGAGAAAGAGATAGAAAGTATAGGTCGAGGGAGAGAATAACGACAAAGCAAACGTCAAGTCGTGACAGAGAGTGGAGGCGGGCATAGAACGAGAGAAAGAGGAGGAAGAAAAGTCTCTGAGTCCGGACAAAATGGGTTAGGATATAATAGGCACGTAAGGTAAGCACAACCAGTGAGCACCAAATAACTGTGTGCGGATTTTAATTTTTGACAAATATTAAAATCATTCAGAGTCCTGACGCCCATTAACTTTTAACTCGTTAGTGTCTGTTGGTCTTAAAATTATGTAAGTGATGTACTGAATTCTAATTGGCCGATGCAGACCAATGCAGAAAACTTTATACAAAGTGGATGATGTGAGCTCAACAAAAACAGAGTTCAAGAACTGCGCAAGGATAACAAACACAATCTCTATCTTTGGACTGTTAACTCCATACACAATTTGTATTCCAAACACGATGAATTGATCCCTTATAATCGAACTTTTAATAATAATCGAAAAAAAAATGTTTTTCTAGAAAATTAGGACACCAATGAAGGTGATGACAAGAGGGGAAAGAGGGAAAGGAAAGAAAAGGATGACCAAGAAATTAAATTAAGCTATTAGGAGCAAGACAAGAAAAACTTCACCAATCGTTAATCACTTATTAACTATTTAGTAACTATTACTTATTACCGTATTCATAGATGTTACTTAGAGAAGGACCAGGGGGAACTGCTACCTCTGCATTCCCTTCCAACACCATGACCACCTTCTTCATGGAGGGACGAATTGATGGCTCATCTTGGATGCACCACAGTCCGAGCCAAATCATCCTCTCTAACTTCTTATCGATCACTTCATCACCCACCAGCTTCCCTACCTCACCAGCTTCGAAACAGTCGTAAACCCAATCCACAAGAACAACTTGACCCTCGGGAAGATTCACATCGACACTCCTTCGGCAGCAGATTATCTCCAGCAACACAACCCCGAAGCTATACACGTCCACCTTCGCTGTTATAGGCACGTTAATTCGATGCCACTCTGGTGCTACATAGCCCCTTGTGCCCTTTATCCCTGTCAATATCCCTGTTTGGTCTTGCTTCAACAGCCTTGCCAATCCAAAGTCTGCAATCTTTGGACATTGATGGTGGCCCATGAGTATGTTCTGTGGCTTTATGTCGCAGTGGATAATCTGAGTCTCGCATTCTTCGTGTAGATACAGGATACCTTTGGCTATATTCAAAGCAATTCCCACTCTTTCATCCCAAGTTGGTTGGGTTTCAGATTTGAAGAGAAAGTCTGCAAGTGATCCATTGCTCATGTACTCGTACACTAGAAGCCTATTAAGGCCTTCATTGCAATAACCGAGCAATCGGACTAGGTTTCTGTGATGGGTTCTACCAATAACTCTCATCTCAGTTCGAAATTCTTGTTCTCCTTCATCTATTACTTTATGCAATCTCTTGACTGCAGCATCCTGACCATTTGGTAAAACTCCTTTGAACACGGTGCCGCAAGCTCCTTTACCCAATTCTTGATTGAAACCTGCTGTGACTCGTTCGAGCTCAGCATAAGTAAACGATCGGAGTGTTATGTCCTCATCATTGAAGTTTCTAATTCCTCGATCCGTCATCATCTTTCTGTATGACCTAAAGCGATTCCTCTGAACAAAAATGGCAAAAAGTGCGACAACTAAAAGGGCACAACCAGTAATTGCAATTATAATAAATAAGATATCCTTCCTCAACTCCTTGGGCTTGCTTCCTGCTTCCATGGAATTTGTGTTCATTTGGGTTCCAGAAGGACCAGAACCAATAACCATCTTGATGAAAGTTTTGGTCTGGTCATTGTCGTTTCTTCTCCCATACCTCAACGGAAGCTTCTGCTTGCTGCACCGTTGGTCCCAAAATAGAGCAACTCCGCAGTTACAGTCTTGCCAGCAAGCCTGTATGCAATCTTCTTCTGTCTTGGACGGTAGAAGTTCATATCCGTTGTCTTCCCATTGGACATTATTCAGTGTGGACATGGTGAATTGGGGATGTTGTTTACTGTTTCTGCAACTGTCTGTGCCATTAATTCTCTGACAGCCCAAGATCTGTTGGCTCTGGTCAATGAAATCCAAGCCAGGAATACATCTGCAAGTATATTGTTGATCCATGACGACACAATACCCATTTAGACCGCACATCCCTGTAGGACAGCTACGGGGGTTTAGATGTACCGACGTCGACCAATTGCCGCTCTGACCCAAAACATACAGCCTGAAGATCCCATCCACATCCATAGTCCATCGGCAAGATATAAATCCATTGGTGCGACACTGGACTCCACCGTTGTACAGATTTTTAATATTGATGCCGGTGGTATTATACAAGTTGAGAGCACCATCATCGGTAAAATTTAATGTCACGTTGTCTCGTCGGCAACATGTATCGGAAGCATAATAAGAAGTCTCTGCCTTAGCATTTTGCATTGGATACTGCACAAGGTTTCCGTCTGACTGCATTATAATGTAAAACCATCCGGACGAGTGATTGGTCTCTGAAGTGCTAGAAACCAGTTTCCCTTCCACCAGCAGAGGCTGACCTGGTAAAATGGTGTCTGTTGGGAAATCAAAACTCTGCCATATGATGTTTCCACTAGAATTACAGAGAACGAAGTTGCCGGTGTCGAGCATAGAAGCCCAAGAAGCGGATTGAGCGGCTTCAGCAATCGATGTGGATTGGGATGCCGTGGTTTGCAGGATGAGCCTTCCGTCTCTGGTCAAGACCAGTCTAGAGTCCTGTTGCAGTGGTGGGTCGTCTCGGTTTGCTGTCCAAATCACTGTTTTTGTAGGGATTTTGGCAAACCAAATACCAACTGCGTAGCCATTGGCGTATTGATAAAACCCAAATGCAAACTGGCCGGACGGGGACAGCCATGAAGAGTTGGTAGTGGGGGAGAGAGAGGAACCTAAGCTGATTTTGGATGATGTTTGCTGAGCAGCTGTCAGTGTGAAAAAGATAAGAAATAGGAAAAGCAGAGATATAGCAGCAGCCATGATAGAAGGCTAGAAGTGCATCCAGTTTTTGTGCGTATTTGAAATTAAAGGGCTGGGAACTGAGATATACGTAGAACTTCTGGAAATTGGTAGACTTTCCACCGAGTTTCCCTTGCGTGTTGAAGTGTTGGAATCCAGTTGTTGGGCGTATTTGGAACGAAAGAGCATGTAGAAATTGGTTAGACTTCCACCGAGATTCCCTTGAGTGTTGAACCGTTTGGACAAAGTGCAGTTTTTTTTAAATATTTTATAAGGTACAAAGAGCGGTTGCTCATATTAAAACCCCTAAAAAATTAAAAACTTCACACTATACCATTTTTTTTTTCTTGTAAACCACCATAATATGGATTGCGTGTCAATTAGGTGGCTCCAATTACAATAGAGGCTGTATAATGGTGCTTTTTTTCGTTAGGTTTCAAAATGAATTGTATATTTTCATTAATTTGTTTCATCAATGCCTTTTGTCAAATTTCTTAAAATACCGCAACTATTTAGCTAATTGACATATTCCATATGAATTGTCTTACAGCATCCGTAATGTTTCTGACAATTGCCACTGCCGTTAAATCGTAACGATTATGTTGAAATGTCCTTCTACCCTTCCGTTAAGTATTGCCGGCATTTGTACAAAAGGGAACCCGTTTTCAGGAAAGAGATCCCACACCCGTTGTGATTGGAGCATTCTATTACTTGATTCTAACGGTCACAGCTGTAATGAGATTTCCGTGCAAAAATGCATTATGTACATCAATTTGATGAACATGTCAACCCTTAGAAACAACAAGAGAGAGTAGAAGTCAAATAGTTGTTGGCTTAATCACTAGACTGAATGTATCATGAAAATCAACCCCTGGTTGTTGAGAGAAGTCACGGGTTACGGGGTGAGCCTTGTAATGAGACACATGCCCATCAGGATCTCGTTTAATACAAAACACCTATTTACAAGTGATAATGTTTTGGCCCTTGGTTTGGGTACAAAATCCCAGGTTTGATTGCGTTGAAGGGCATCAAATTCCTCTTGCATGAGACATATGCCTATCAGGACCTCATTTAATACAAAACACCCACTTGCAAGTGATAATGTTTTGGCCCTTGACTTGGGTACAAAATCACAGGTTTGATTGCGTTGAAGGGCATCGAATTCCTCTTGCATGGTGGAGCACCAATGAGGGGTAGATAGGGCCTGGGTTATAGAGGAAGGTTCAGATTTAGGTGAGAGAGGAGGATGCTTTGTTTCAAGAAAGGTCTTTGGTTTGAAAATGCCACTCTTAGCTCTAGTGGTCATGGGGTGTGTGTTGGAGGGTGTGGAGGTTGATGAATAAGAGAAGTGTTGGGTGGTGCTGATATAGGTAGGTTAGGTGGAGAAGATGATCTGGCATGGTCATCATTAGGAGATGGTAAAGGTGAAGAGGAAGGGGAAGGTTCAGTATTGGATGAAAGAGGAGAGCTATCGGAGATAGTTGATGGTGTATTTGCGGTGGGACATGGTTTGGGTAAAATGATGGAGGTGATGGGTAGTGGGGCAAGTTGAGATGGTTGTTGTATTGATGCAGGGGAAGACGATAGTTCCTTGAAAGGAAAATGTGTCTCATTAAATAATACATGGCGAGACATGTACCAGCATCCAGTTGCAAGTTGAAGACACCTATAGCCATGATTTTTTGGGTTATAACCCATGAAAATGCAAGGGGTGGATCTGAAATTCATCTTATGCTGATTATAGGGTCTCAAGTAGGGAAAACATTCACAACCAAATACCTTAAGGAAAGTATAGTTTAGTTTGGTGTGAAAGAGTTTTTCCCATGGTGAAACATATCCAATGACTTTGTTGGGCATTCTATTATATAAATAAGCAGTAGTATAAAAAGATTCACACTAGAAACGCATGGGTACGGATGCCTGTGTTAGCAGAGTTAAACCAATCTCAGTTATATGTTTGTGTCATCTTTCAACAAAATCATTTTGTTCAGAGGTGTGAGGGCAGCTTAGCCGATGTGAGATACCACACTTCTCAAGAATGGGACGAAAAGAAGAGAATTCCTTCCCACCATCAGTTTGTATTGCTTTAATAGAATATCCAAGTATATTTTCAACATTAGCCTTAAACTTGATGAAAGCATTTAAGGCTTCAGACTTTAGTTTAAGAGGAAAAATTCAGAAGTACTTACTAAAAGCATCAACAAAGCTTATATAGTATTTAAAACCACCATGAGATGTAACTGGTGTAGGTCCCCAAATGTCTACAAATATCAATTGTAATGGTGCAATGACAATAGATGAACTAACTGAAAATGGTAACTTGTGACTCATACCCATGGGACAAGAGGAACAAAAACTTAATGATTTACTAAAGCCAATTGGCAATTTATTCTTGTGTACTACTTATCAAACAATGCTGGGTGCTAGATGTCCAAAATGTTGATGCCAAAGATCTATTGAGGTTCTTTCTCCTACGAGAGCAAGATGTTCTGCACTTGTAACTTGATCATTCTATAGTTTATAGAGACCATTGCCAATTGGCCCTTCCAATAGGATCTTCTTCGTTTGTTGATCCTTTACAACAAAGAAACGATGATGGAACTCAAAAAACACATCATCGTTTGTAGAAAATTGAGCAACTGATAATAGATTTTGGAAATTTTTGGAACATGCAACACATTTCTAAGAATGAGAGGTTGTGAAGAAGACTTTATACAAGAAGACCGATATTCTTAATTGTCCCACTGTGACTTTTCAAATTACCAAGATTTATAGTTAGATGGTTTGTGGCTCCAAAGTCTGGATACCAACCCCCATCATTATCTATGTTAGCAAAATTGATTGAGTTTGCAGCTTGATTTGAATCACCATCTTTGTGATACCTGAAATAACAATTCTTCGTAATGTAGTTTTTCTTTTCACAGACCTGACATGGTCCAAGATTAGTATTCATCTTTTTATTTTCACTAGTGTTCTGTTGATTTTGTCTAGGTCGATTATCTTGACCTTTGTTTTTGTTGTTATTGAATCTAGACCCTCCTTGCTAATGTCCACGTTGAGTAGCATGGACACTTGGTACAGTATGATCTGTGCTATTCCTCAGGGCTTCCATTCTGAGTTCATGATTATAAAGCATGCTTTGAATGTCATCAAGAGTAAGTGAACCAGATAAAGTACTCACAGATGTGATGAACGCTTCATAATCTGATCCAAGACCAGTTAAGGTTTTAATCACCAAGTCTTGATTAGTGATGGGTTATCCAGCCATTGAGAGACTATTCAAAATATTTTTGGCCTTTTATAGATATTTGTTCATTGGCATGGTGCCTTTCCTCAGGTTCATTAACTCTGCATGAAGTTGCGTAACTCTGACCCTGGACTGGGAGGAAAACAATCTTTCCTGAGTGCTCCAAACGGCTCTGGTTATGGTGCAGCCAATGACTTGGCCGAGGACACTCTCAATGAGTGTGGATAGCATCTAACTAAGTAACAGTTGGTCTTGTTTTCACCACTAGGTGTATTTTGGGTTGAGAATCTTTTGCCCATCCAATTCAATATTTTGAGGTGGACATGGTAGTGATTCATTTGCATATCCAATCAGATCTGAACCATCTAATGATGGCAAAACTTGTGATCTCCAAAACATATAGTTATACCGATCTAGCTTCACAGTAACAAGCTAACCAAAATTTGTAGTGGTCATGCTTCCAATCTAGAGTTGCCTAGTTTGGGTTTGAAGGATTAAAATAGGGGAGGTCGAAACAAAGATGGTGTTACTAACCATGATGACCTATAGCTCTGATACCATAAAAGATAAAGCAAGAAAAGAAATAATGGAGAACTTTATTGAATTGTTTGAGTTACATATATAGATATAAGTAGTTGAGTCCTAACAAAACACTTCAGTATTGAATAGATAAGGATAGGCATGAGCTGGGTTATCATGCACTGGATTGATGCATTAGCTAGATGTTACGTGTCTAATACTTAGAAACTCCATTTCCAGATGTTGAACTGAAGATTGGCCTTACATTTCGGATTAGACGACAGAGACATGGAGGACATAGTCTTGCCTTTGGGAATAGGGACATCAATCCCACCGCAAGTCACATAAAACCCTAATCCCGACCTTCTTAGTCTTGAGACTCCCAATCTTCACCTTCACCTTCATGTCCATCTGAATCTCTAAAGGTAACATGTTCTTCCTCTTCATATCTGACTTGAGCGAATTAATGGATTCAATGTCCAGACCTCCATTGGAATTCAATATCAAAGTTGTTAGCTTAGTGGTGTTCTTAGTGCCATGAGTGAATGATAGGAACAATCCATTTCCTATATCCATGTCGTTGGAGTTCACAATCACAATGATGGGATCGTAGAAGAAGACTTTATTTTTTAACTTTTTTTTTTCAATACAAAACATAGAAGGGAAGGAAGATCACCAGCGACCACCCAACCAATATACAAGTGTGGTTTTTTCCTCTTCATTCTCATCTATTTTTTTTATTGCATAAAAAACTTTGATTTTTTTCCAATTTCCAATGATCCAGTACTCCTATTGACATAGATCAATAGACATTCACCTTCATTGGCAATGGAACTAGAGTTGGGTTCCTCACTTTGTTTATTTGTTAAAATTTCTTCCTCATCTCCGTTTCAACAACTACCGTCGGCACTCACTAGATAGTAGATAACATTCTCACTTGCCAGCAAAGAGTGTATTGGCATAGAGATAATTGCTTCCCCGATTATAGCATTTGAATGCAAGATCTTCCAATGCCGGATGGTATAACCACCAAGGATTCAATATGCCGGAGATAGTTTGATGTCTTTAGCTTCTTGTCCTCGTCTAGAATGGCAATTGAAAACTAAATGTTCCTCCTCGGAGGAGAAGAAAAAGAGTGATTGATGAATATGAGAGAGGTTGGGGATTCAGTTCCTCCATGGGTGATGAGATTCAAATTTTACATATATAGAATGGGTTGGGAAAATACAAATAAAAAAATAGATGAGAATGAAGAGGAAAAACCCACACTTATATAATGCTCGAGTGAGTCTGTTGACGCCAATGAGTTAGTTCAACATCAGAACCAGCATGTCCCCTTAACAGACAACCCAACCCAACCCAACCTACCCTTGTGCAAACTGAAAAGGGCATTTTAGACCAATAAAAAGGTATTTTAGGAGATTTTGAAAAATAAATCTATCACGTGATGTCACATATAAACGGTTTATGATGGAGAGTTAACAGTAGGGGAGGTTTTAGACAATTGTTAAAAATAGTAGGGCTGCTCCAAGACAATTTGTAAAATGTAAGAGTAGAGTTTGTCAATTAGCTAAACAATAGGGGTAGTTTAAGAAATTTGT